CCCCAAAACCCCAAAACCCCAAAACCCCAAATAGGTGTTACCAAGTTGAAATCACTTAATATCAAGCATCCAAGACCCATAAAATGTGGAAGTATTTATTCGAGATTTAGTCCATGAATCTATTTTTTCCAACATACAGGTTTCAAACTGGTCATTCGCTTTTTGCTTGAAGATGTACAAGAATACAGTTGGGATGAAACTGATGTCCTCAATTCAACTTGTAGTACACTTGTTTGCCATTCTTCATTCTTTCAAACTTGAAGCTCTGTTTTGAGTCATGATGCTCTGCTTCAGGCTCTGTGAGCAAGTTAGTGCAGAAATTGCAAGCATCCTTCATGTCTTCTCCTCCCATTGTAATTTTGATCTCACGTTTAAAAGTGTCGTAGTACTTTTGTCTGAATCAACTCGGAAGTATGAATCTGCTCCCAAACTTTGCTTGCATGTTGATCAGTGTAATTCAAACCACCTGCGACACAAAGAAATACATCACCCAAAGCTCGTCATCGGATGAGTAGTAGAACGGCCCGAATGGAGTAAATGGAAACAAGGCAATGTAAGAGCTCACAATCAAATGAAAGAAGCTTTCATAGTAGGTTGACTTATGTATTGAATTGGAAACAAAACTCACTGGTAGAAGGAACATTAACATTATAAATGTCACTCTTGAGAACATCACAAGTTTGAAATATCCACTTATCGTGACTATGAGGTAAAATAGAATCATACAGAAGCATATCACACCAGTTCTCATATCTGAAAAATCTCTTCCATCAAAGAAGCGCTTCAAGTTTTCAAATGTAAATACAGAAGCAGGCAATACAAAGAAAGCAGCAAAGTTATACAGACCGATAAGCAAGATAAGTATGATTCCAATTAGCATACTTTGGTTTGCTGCATTGCTAAACATGTGCAACCAAATAGTGTTTATTGTGAACAACCCGTAAAAGTAAAAAGGCATTCTCGTTATCAAATATATAGCCTTCTCTCTGCTAGTTCCTTTATCAATATTATACAAATTGCCCTCATGTCCAATGGGGATCAAACATGCTCCAATGATAGGTACAAAGCTTATCAGAGTGAACAAAAGATCACTCAGAAAGCTAAGTTCATATGCACTTCCTCCTTTTAAATCACTTTTAAAGGAAGTCTTGATCTCAGACATAATCAGCTTTGAATTCACTGAAGCTTCTATTTTGGCCTCACTATAGCCTCCCCAGGTCTTCAAAGCCATGCTAACTTTACATGGAGCTGGTTCTGTGATTTTGCTTGAGCAATAATATCAAAGAGCCTTGTAAGACTTGAGTTTGAGTCCGTGGTAGTCGTATGATTCCAAACTCACTGGATTAACCATATCCACCTACAAGTTAGAAACTAAATACATTTTGAACAGCAATGATCACTTTGAAAGCAAGAGGGTTGGCTTTGGACACATCCTTGTTGTCATCTACACCGAAACCAATGAAAAGAGTATCTGGAAGCGTCGTATTTTCCATCAATGTCTATACCAACAAGGTTAGCTTAGAATGTTTAAAAGCCTGAATTTGAGATACAAGTGAAAGAACTTAGTGGTCTTGTCTTAATAATAAAGATGTCATCAGCTGAGGATTAAATATGATACTTTTTAATAATGCAGTAATGCTTATAATGATCCACTCCCAGTTTGATTTACTAATTTATCATTAAATGCTTCTATTATAGGTTTACAAAAATTAATTTTAGTCAAATCAATTCTGAAGAAAGCATCATTAACTTTAAAGAAGGCATTCATTGGATTCTAAATGTCAAAATATAAAGAGTAAATTTCTGGTAAAAAAAAGTTAAACCGCTCTCACAATTGCATTAATTTTGGTTTTCTTAAGTGTTCCAACTTCACCAGACGGAAAGTAATCAGCCATCATCTTTGAAATTCCTGAATAGTGGAAGCTGTTCAGATATTTAAGCAAGAGCTCAGCATTATCTTGATCGAATCCTCTAAGCAAAGTGTTTTCTGTCTCTGATACACTGAAGATCCTGTTGTCAAATTGCTTCAGGTCTTTAAATCATAGCTGTTGCTGGTTATACACTTCTAGATCCCATTCTTTGGCTTCTTCTTGACTGTTTGCAAGGACTCCAATGAGAAAGAGTCAAAATATAAAAGCCTTCATTACTTTAAATAAATTATCTAAATCCTTCGATATTTTATAAGACATAAGGGGTTTTGGGGTTTTGGGGTTTTGGGG